ATATATATATATATATTTACATTTATATTTACATTTATATTTACATATATTTATTTATTTATTCTCTTTCCACCTACCTGTTGCTCTACGACACCTCTTGAACACGAAAAGGCCCACAATTGCAACAACCACAGCAACCACAGCAAACAGTGTTAATGGCACAATCATCGAGGCCTTTGCTGATAAAAAAAGAAGACAACTGTATTAAGATAACTGACAACCATATAGTGGTAAATTCATAACTAGAAACCATTTACAGTCTGAATGAATCCCCCATTGAGCCATTAAGGCCATAAATGTCACACTTTGTTTCTTTTCTGCTGTTGGAGCTTCACATATATGTAACATTATACTTTGGGCTGAAAATGGGATTTTTTTTTCATTGTAACAAAAACCCATGCATGTCATGGCAGAAGCTTTTCAGGTGGCATTCGCTTCCACTGAGTCGTGTACCTGAAGCATAGTCAGATGTGGATGGGACTTTCTTGCACTCAGTGTTGCTAGTAGAGGTGCAGTTCCTCACAATCTCTTCATCTTCTCCACACCTAGTTTGAAGGCAGGCAAAAAGAGACATTTACAGCATGAAGGAATTAAAATGATTTACGCTGACTTAAGAACATACTGAAATAAAAAGGATTACTCTCCCATCACTCACTTTAAACGGACCATGCGTCAGGTGTGTTGTCCGTTTGCTTTGCAAAGACTCACCTTGAACATTTCTTGCACACCTCACATGCTTCGTGAGGAACACAAAATCGTCCCGATTTGCACTGACACTCAGTATCATGAGTGTGCGTACATGCCCTTACAATTTCCTGATCTGAGAAAGCAACACACACAAAAAGCCTTGTTAAGTCTGAGTTTACGCTCGGAGCACTTTGAAAAGGTTGAATATAGATTTTTCTTGCACAGTCATTCTAATCAATAGTGTGAAGCCGTCAAGCAGAATTACCTGAGCGACACTGTGTGCACTTAAAACACTGCTTCAGACTGTTGGTGTGCTCAGTGTATGTTCCATCATCGCATTCCTCACACGTCCCTCGCTCTCCTGCTCTGGTGCAGGGCGATGTCATACGTGTACCTAACACACACAAAACAACAACAACTTAGCTTTCAGCTGAACCTGTCAGTCTTACTAAATAATAACCAATCACAATCAATCTCAGCCTGCTTCATCTCGCTGCTGACAGAACTTAGGTCTCAGAGGACTAAATCAAGTGTGGCTGCACGTGGCTTACCAGCTGGACAATTTATACAGCAGATGTTGCCATTGAGGTACTCCACGTTGTCTGTGCAGCGGGCGTATGTTCTGCTGCCTCCCAAGTCACGGCCAGACCACGGTAGCGCCCCCGTGAGTTGGAAAAGACAGATCGATAGCAAAAAAACCTTTGGGGAAAAAAGAGGATTGTTTGTTTTATTGTTTTAGATCAGTTTTGTTGACTAAAAAAAAATCATCATCTGGTAAATTAAAGGGGCAATTTGATCTGTTTTATAGACACTAATAAAAGAGCTGACATTTTATGAACGATATATTTCTTATAAAGAAAAATAGAGGCAAACTAATCGAAAAAATAACTCTTAGACAAAACTGTTATTTTCAAAAGTTTTGAAAACAAAAAATGACACTCAATTGTGTCTCTCTGTTAGTAACTGAATATCTTTAAATTGTGTGTTTCAATGATTCCTATTTGTATATCTGAGCCTACTCCTCTGATGGCAGTCTGAGTCCCTAAAGTTCTGCAGGAAATAACTCGTTTACCAAGGAATACTTCAAACATAAAGAAGACAAATATTTAAGATGACTCAACACTTCATAAGACTGTGGCTGACCAATGACATGCTATTCTGATCAGGCCACCAGCTGACAAACAAGATGAGAGCTGGGCAGGTGGATGTGACTGGGGGGGGTGTGGGGGTTTCCATCAGTCCATCTCCTCAACACATCGTAAACCCACGGAAGTGATGCAACAATCCAGTCTTAACCTTACAGCACAAGAACTGATACACAATCACACCAGGTAAACACAACCAGGGTGTGTCCAATAGCTACAGTGTATACCTGGCCAGGAAATAACCAAATAAGGCAAACAGAAATAGCTCGGATTGCTGCCCACACCCACTAGCACAGTCTCCTTAGTGCCCTACTTTGGGGCATCTCCCTGGCAAGCAGGCACATGTGCACAACAAACACACACACACACACTCTGCTGTGGGCTAGCTGCCACTCTACAGGCGTCTGCTTTGTTACATTCAAACGAAGTGCTTCAAACATTACCGGCAATTAAAGACAAACGTTACAAACTGTCGAATAAGTCCGTTAAAAATCATCTGGCATGACGGTAGAGAAGTCATACAAACCTCCATTCAAAACAGTTAAAGGCAACCTTGTTTCACGACGCAGAAATAGCCAATACATTTGAAATAAAATATGAAGACATTATATGGATCTTTAGTAGCCGGTCTTTAAATCGGCTAGTATATAATCCACAAAACGGCACTTCATTTTGATAAAGTTCCAACTTTTTGGGGTTATTACTGTCGCTTCCGCTCGCCCAGTACACAGGAGAGATACCTGCAGGAATACCAAGCTAATCAGATATAAAAGCTTACATTTAACCGAGTAAAGACATTTGGTGGATTGCCACCCCGCCGTATTGAAGGAGGAATAGTAGTAATTATTAAAATATAGTTTGCCCCAGAATTATGGATGTGTACCTGTGACAGTTTCTAAGAGCATTTCTAATTGACAAATTCTTAAATGGAGATTGGTTCAGGAGAGCACAACACCCGGTTTAGAGTTGAGCATAATTTCGATTTTATTAGGTTAAATGTTCTTTTATTAAATTTTAACTGTTCATTAACCACGAACAGTCAACTACAAAAACTTTGGAGCAGTTCACAGTGTTTAAGGAGGAATGAATGAACAAGTTACTTTCTGGAGCCGACGAGGAATTTGGCACCTGGGCTCGGACAGCGTGAGAGCGGCTGACAGATAAATGTGACATTCCGCACAGAGGCTTCTGTAGACACAACCTAGCCACCCGGTAAACCCCGCAGTCTAACCCAACTTAATGTCCCAATGGAAGAAACGTGCTGTTAAATAAAAATTCAATAGAAAATGTGTGCCGCGCTCGCCACTTCAGCCCACACACCACAGACAAGATCCTTGAACTTTATAGACTTTCCTGCCAAAACAAACCGCCGACTGAGAGTTATTAAGTAACCATCAACGTTAGTTAATAATGGAAGCTCGGATTCGCTCAGTGATTTAACACAGCCGCTTATGTTTCTCACTTTCAGGAAATACTATCCTCACTGGAGCCAAAGTCAACTTCCAGCTGGGCCAAGAGTAAAAGTGAACTTCTGAAAGACACTTTACCTGATATAGTTGCAACTTTGTCATTCTTTAGAGATGTTAAAATCCACACAGTTGACTCATTCCAAAACGCTCGTGCTCCCGCTCCAAATCCAGCCGCAGGTGTGACGGCTCGAGGTCGTTGACGTAAGATTTCTATGGCTGGGGG